ACAAACCTTAAACTTCCTAATTTCAATAATAACTTAAATATTTCTAACTTAACAACAAATTCTTCTAAAAACTCTACCATACAAACATCTACTAACACTAATATTAATAATACTAACAACTCTCTCTTCCTTAACATCGTAACTCATAATATTAGAGGTTACAATAACTCTCTTAAAAAACAACTCTAGGAAGACTTCTGCTTTCTTCATAACTACAATATTATCAGTCTAACTAAAACTAAACTTAAGAACTCTACATCAAAATTCTTTAACACCCAATACTTTACAAACCACCTATCAAATTCTGCAACTTTTATGGAAGAAACTGGAATAATACTATCAAACAAACTGATACTACATATTCATAAAATTTTTAAACATGAAGGAAGTGCAATTGCTATTGACCTTTTTTTCAAATATGATTTTAAATTTAGAATAATTTTAGTATATCTGTCTTCTACAGATATATCACATAGAAACTCTACACAAACCAAAGTCAGCCAATAGATTCAACAAGCATTAAGCTAACAACTCTACCCAATAGTATTTGGAGATTTTAATATAGATATCTCTACAACAAGTTTAAATAGCTCAAAATCTAGACTCATTAACTTCCTTACAAGTAACAATTTATATAACCTTACTAACTATACTTCAAATATATCTCACACATGGCACAACAATCAATTACAAACTAGAATTAATTATATATAGTATTATGAATTCTTAATACTATATTTACAAAAGTTTAGCCTAGTAGAACCTTCAACATCTATATGAAGTAACCATATGATATTTGTATTTTCATGGCTATTTCTTCATGCTAACTTATCTAAATATAACAAAAAATTCAAAGCAAACAGAAGAATTTTTGATTATAGCTCTATGAACAAAGAAACTTAGGAAGAATTTATAAACTAAGTTAATTACAACTTAAACCAAAATAACATCCTACTTGAATTAGATACTAATAATTCTCTCAAAACATACTAGCATAAAATCCAAATAAGTATTATTTCTGCTGCTCTCAAAATAATATCTAACAAAAAAATTAAATTCCAGAATTTTCACCATACTCACTCACAAAAAGCTACACAACTTCATTAAGCTTTAAAACTAACAGGACAAATTATTCATTAAGTAAAATATGTATTTAATAACAAGCTTCCAATCCCAATTAGCATCCTACTTCTAATTAACAAAATTAATCAACAACAAAATCTTAATATTGACAATATCCCTTCTAACAACTATGAAATTCTAACATGGCTTAACAATACACAAACATATTAGAAAAGTCTATATAAAGCCTAAGAAACAGAAAACTCTATATATATCTGTTAACAGATTAATGCAGCAACTGAAAAAAGATGCTCAGATTTTCAAACATAGCCAACAAAAATAATTAATAGTATTCTGAATAGATATACTGATAAAGTCTCCCTCAGTCTTCTGGCTTTCTGGTAATTTTAATTGTGTTGAGGTTTTTTTCTATTCTTCTGGATTTTACTAATTAATTTTCTTTGTCTTTAGGTTTTCAGCAATTTCTGGTGAAATTTCTTGTAGTCTCTCCAGGTCTTCTGGCTTTCTGGTAATTTTAATTGTGTTGTTAAGGTTTTTTTATATTTTTCTGATTTTACTAATTAATTTTCTGTCTTTAGGTTTTTCAGTGATTTCTGATGAAATTTCTTATAGTTTCTAGTCTTCTGGCTTTCTAGTAATTTTAATTGTATTGTTTAGGTTTTTTTCTATTCTTCCAGATTTTACTAATTAATTTTCTTTGTTTTTAGATCTTTTGGCGATTTCTGGTGAAATTTCTTGTAGTCTTCTCCACTCTTCTAGCTTTCTGGTAATTTTAATTGTGTTTAGAATTTTTTCTATTCTTCTAGATTTTACTAATTAATTTTCTTTGTCTTTAGGTCTTCAGCGATTTCTGGTAAAATTTCTTGTGGTCTCTTCTAGTCTTCCAGCTTTCTGGTAATTTTAATTGTGTTGAGGTTTTTTTCTATTTTTCTGAATTTTACTAATTAATTTTCTTTGTCTTTAGGTCTTCGGTGATTTCTGGTGAAATTTCTTGTAGTCTTTCCTAGTCTTCTGGCTTTCTGGTAATTTTAATTATGTTGTTGAAGTTTTTTTATATTCTTCCGAATTTTACTAATTAATTTTCTGTCTTTAGGTCTTTTAGCGATTTCTGGTGAAATTTCTTGTGGTCTCCTCTGGTCTTCCAGCTTTTTGGTAATTTTAATTGTGTTATTTAGGTTTTTTTTTATTCTTCTAGATTTTACTAATTAATTTTCTTTGTCTTTAGGTCTTTCAGCGATTTCTAATAAAATTTCTTGTGATCTCCTTTGCTCTTCTAGCTTTCTGGTAATTTTAATTGTGTTTAGGATTTTTTCTATTCTTCTGAATTTTACTAATTAATTTTCTTTGTCTTTAGATCTTTAGTAATTTCTGGTGAAATTTCTTGTAGTCTTCTGACTTTCTGGTAATTTAATTGTGTTAAGGTTTTTTTCTATTCTTCCAGATTTTACTAATTAATTTTCTTTGTCTTTAGGTCTTCAGTGATTTCTGATGAAATTTCTTGTAGTCTCCCCTGGTCTTTTGGCTTTCTGATAATTTTAATTGTATTAAGGTTTTTTTCTATTCTTCTGAATTTTACTAATTAATTTTCTGACTTTAGATCTTTTAGTAATTTTTGATGAAATTTCTTGTGGTCTCCTCTGGTCTTTTGGCTTTCTAGTAATTTTAATTGTATTGTTTAGATTTTTTTCTATTCTTCTGTATTTTACTAATTAATTTTCTTTATCTTTAGGTCTTTCAGCGATTTCTGGTAAAATTTCTTGTAGTCTTCTCCGGTCTTCTAGCTTTCTGGTAATTTTAATTATGTTAAGGTTTTTTTCTATTCTTCTGAATTTTACTAATTAATTTTCTTTGTCTTTAGGTCTTCAGTAATTTCAGGTAAAATTTCTTGTGGTCTCCTCTGGTCTTCTGGCTTTCTGGTAATTTTAATTGTGTTGTTGAGGTTTTTTTATATTCTTCTGGATTTTACTAATTAATTTTCTGTCTTTAGGTCTTTTAGTGATTTCTGATGAAATTTTTTGTAGTCTTCTCTGGTCTTCCAGCTTTCTGGTAATTTTAATTGTGTTGTTTAGATTTTTTTCTATTCTTCTGGATTTTACTAATTAATTTACTTTGTCTTTAGGTTTTTTAGCGATTTCTAGTGAAATTTCTTGTAGTCTCCTCCGGTCTTCTGACTTTCTGGTAATTTTAATTGTGTTTGAATTTTTTTCTATTCTTCTGAATTTACTAATTAATTTTCTTTGTCTTTAGGTTTTTGGTAATTTCTAATAAAATTTCTTGTAGTCTCTCCTGGTTTTCTGGCTTTATAGTAATTTTAATTGTATTAAAGTTTTTTTCTATTCTTCTGAATTTTACTAATTAATTTTCTTTGTCTTTAGGTCTTCAGCGATTTCTGGTAAAATTTCTTGTAGTCTCCTCCAGTCTTCTGGCTTTCTGGTAATTTTAATTGTATTAAGGTTTTTTTCTATTCTTCCGAATTTTACTAATTAATTTTTTGTCTTTAGGTCTTTCAATAATTTCTGGTGAAATTTCTTGTAGTCTCCTCTGGTTTTCTAGCTTTCTAGTAATTTTAATTGTACTAGTTTTTTTTTTCTGTTCTTCTGGTTTTACTAATTAATTTTCTTTAGTTTTTGAGTTTTTTGTTTTTTTCTGGTCTTTCGGCATTTCACTGGTATGCTCTTCAGGTTTTCCTGCATTTGAACTGTTTTTGGGTCTTTTGATATTTTACTGGTGAATTTTCTTGTAGTCTTCTAGTTCAAAGGACTATAAGAAGATTCTCCAGTAAAATGCTGAAAATGGTCTTCAGTTAATATTTTACTGGTAAATTATATAGTTTCTTTCTTCAGGAATTTTGGTGTTTATTAGCAAATTTTTTATAGTTTTTAGTTTTATTAGTAAATTTTCTTGTGATCATGTTTTTTCTTTACATGTATATTAAGATTTTAAAGTTTATATTATATGATTTTGATTATCTAGCTAAGAGGTTGTTATAAAATTACATTTTGAATTATTTATAATTTTTTTAAAGTTAAATAAATTAAATTTTATTTTATTTATAAAATATTTTATTAAAAAATTGTATATAAAAATAAAAAAATATATAAAATTTAAAATATATAATATTGTTTTATTTTATTTAGATTTTACTAGTTTAATTATAGTAGGCATTGAGCAAAGATCATCTTTTTTACTAGGATTTTGTATATAATTTCTTATTTGTTCATATAGATATCATTGTTGTTCAGCACTTAAATCTGATAATTTTTTTTCAACTAATAGGTTTAAATTATCTGATTTGGTTTTTTCAATTTGTATTATAGTTTTTTCTCCATATGATGATGTGCTAATTTTAATATTTCCTTGATATAAACTATTAAACTCAAAATAGTATTGTTTTAAAATATTTAGAATTGTTGTAAATCTTTGTTTTAACTAATTTGTCTATTCATAAAAATGTACTAATTGATTTCCATTATTATCAAAAATTGTTTGTGCAATATTATATCTACTAGAAGTTAAATTTTGAATTATTTTAATTAAATCTTCAAGATTATCTACTTCAGATTTTCGTAAAAGTAATTTTATAAGACCAAAAAATCTATTTGAACTAAATTTAGTATATTCTGCAACTATAAAACAATAAGTTATACTATCATGCAATCCTGTTAATACTCTTCAAGCTAAATATTCTATCATAACATTATTCTTATTTTGATCAGAACAGTTGTCTGCATGAATTACTAAGTTTTTTTCTCCTAAGCTATGTAATTCAAAGTAATTATGTACTAAAGAAATAATAGTATCTGCATCTTTACTAACTAATTCACTTTCTTTAATAAGATAATTTACCTAAAAATTATATTTTATAATTTATATTAGTTAATTTTATATAAAATAAATTAATAATAAAAATTTAATTTTTACTTGACGTGGAAATACATTATCACATATTCCAAATAAATAAACTTTATATAAAGATTTAAAATAAATTTCACCCTAATTATATAAAATAATTTAATAAATTTTTAATTCAATTATTATTTTATATTTATAATAAAAACTTACTTCTTGTTGAGAAGAATATGGTAATTGAATTTGTTGTACATAATTCCAAGAAAGATGAGTTGTAATATTTAAAGAATTAGGTTTTCCAGGATGTACTAAATTACTAATTCCAAATTTTTGAATATCTTTATATACAATATTAATATAATTTCTATTAAATTTAAATAAATTAATTAATATTATTTAAATGATAAATAATATAAATATAAATAAAATTATTTACTTATAATTTTCTCTTTCTTTATGTGCCTATTTAATATGTTTATACCATTCTAATACTTTAGTTTCTTTTTCTTCAACTATCCAATAATTTGCATTAAATCGCATATCTTTATATTTTAAACACAAATCACTTCTAGGAGTTAACTTTTTAATATGTAGTAAATTTTTTTTTCAAATTCTGTTAAATGTTGTATAACTAACTCTATATTCATCATTATTTTCAGTTGCTTCTAAATATTGTGTATGTAAAAATAAATAAGTTATATCTCTAACAAATATATAATAGTACTAGTATTATCACAAAAACTTCGTCCTATAAAATTTATATAAATTAATAAAAAATAATTAATTAAAATTAATTTAATAATTATAATACCTAGAGAAGGCAAACCATTTTGTTTTGCATAATTTGCTATAAAAGTAATTACACTTAATACTATTTTAAATGATATTGCTTGATTTTCTTTTCTTATTTTAGACTTTTTTCTTAAATTAATATCATTTTCTACAAAGTGTTCTCTTAAATTTTTCCATCTTTTATCTCCAAGTCCATAAATTGTTTTAAAAGCATTAAAACAAATTGATTTTCTTTCAAAAATATATCTGTAGAAAGTTTAGTTTTTTTTAAATTTCTAACTATATCAGATCGTTTAGTAGCAGAAATAATACCTAATAAATATATATCCTGAAAAGATTTAGAAAGGTTTTTAAAATTTATATGTCTGAATAAAGCTACTGAATAATCACATTGAGTTTGTAAACAATTTTTTTCACAACATCTTTTATCATAAGATTCTTTAAATTTATTATTTTGTAATAAATTTATTTCATTTTCTAAATTTTGATTATCATCATCATGATTTTCTAAAATATCTTTTGTTTTATAATATAATATTTTAAACTTAGAAATTTCTTCTTCAGACCAAGATTTATTTTCTAAAAGATTATTTTCTAAGAATTCTTGAATTTCAGAATTATCTAATAAAGACAAATTATTTTCTTCATCTAAATATTGAAATTGTAAATTTGAAAAATCAGTTTGTAATTGTATATTTTCTTTATGAGTTTCTTCAAAAATATTTTTGTTTAAAAAAAAGTTGGTCATTTTTGTAAAATAAAATTTAAATTTTAAGTAAAATTAAATTTAAATAATTTTAAATAAGGATTTAATTATTTTGCGCAGGTGCGTTGTAATGCATCCACCTGATTGTATAATGTGAAAATTAAAACAAACCCTTTTTGCATTAGTTTAGGGTTAGGGTCAGGGCTACATTAGGGTTAGGAAAGGGCAATAGTGAAACACTTCTAACCCAAAATTTTGCAAGGAATTTTTTTTATTAGAATGCGAAAGGAGGTTTCATAAACGAAAAATTGAATTACAGGCAATTTCTTTAAAAAATTGCTATTGTTTTGATTTTCACATTACACATGATTTTGAATTCTGATTGGTCGATCAGGGGGTGCGTTATAATGCACCTGTATTAAATTATATAATCCTTTAAATAAATATTCTGTATTTATATATTTAAAGTATTAGAAATATACAAATTTGACTAATTAGATTATATAAGAAAATAATAGTAAAACACTAAAAGAACAATACAACTAAAAAAAAATTACTGCAGTTTCTATAAATGCATATAATATAATAAAAAAACTCTATTGTTTCATATCTTAATAATCATTTTAACACAATCAATCATGCAATATTATACAAAAAAATATGTATATTTCTCATTTATAAATTAACTAAATTTAGACAAAATTTAAACTAATTAAAATTTGAACATTATTTTATAACAAACTATTACTATGACAATCCCATAACCAGCAATTTAAAATTGATCACACAATAGACTTTATATACTATAAAAATTCAATACACATGTAAAGAAAAAAACATAACCACAAGAAAATTCACTAATAAAACTAAAAACTATAAAAAATTTGCCAATAAATACCAAAATTCCTGAAGAAAGAAATTATATAATTTACTAGTAAAACGTCAACTGAAGACCACTTTCAGCATTTTACTAGAGAATCTTCTTATAGTCCTCTGAACTCGAAGACCACAAGAAAATTCACCAGTAAAACATTGAATAATCCAAAAATAGTTCAAATGCAGGAAAACCCAAAGAGTAAATTAGTGAAATGCTGAAAGATTAGAAAAAAACAAAAAACTTAAAAACTAAATAGTAAAGCTGGAAGAACAGAAAAAAAAAAACTAGCACAATTAAAATTATCAAAAAGCTGGAAGACCAGGAAAGACTACAAGAAATTTCACCAGAAATCATCGAAAGACCTAGAGACAAAAATTAATTAGTAAAATCTGGAAGAATAGAAAAAAACCTCAACACAATTAAAATTACTAGAAAGCTAGAAGACTAGAAGAGACCACAAAAAATTTTTCAAAAATCACTGAAAACCTAAAGACAAAGAAAATTAATTAGTAAAATTCAGAAGAATAGAAAAAAACTTCAACATAATTAAAATTACCAGAAAGCTGGAAGACCAGAAGAGACCATAAGAAATTTCACCAGAAATCGCTGAAGACTTAAAGACAAAGAAAATTAATTAGTAAATTCAGAAAAATAGAAAAAAACCTCAACACAATTAAAATTACCAGAAAGCTGGAAGACTAGAAGAGACCACAAGAAATTTTACCAGAAATCGCTGAAGACCTAAAGACAAAGAAAATTAATTAGTAAAATCTAGAAGAATAGAAAAAATTCTAAACACAATTAAAATTACCAGAAAGCTAGAAGAGTGGAGAAGACTACAAGAAATTTCACCAGAAATCGCCAAAAGATCTAAAAACAAAGAAAATTAATTAGTAAAATCTGGAAGAATAGAAAAAAACCTAAACAATACAATTAAAATTACTAGAAAGCCAGAAGACTAGAGACTATAAGAAATTTCACCAGAAATCACCGAAAAACCTAAAGACAGAAAATTAATTAGTAAAATCAGAAGAATATAAAAAAACCTTAACAATACAATTAAAATTACCAGAAAGCCAGAAGACCGGAGGAGACTACAAGAAATTTTACCAGAAATTTCTGAAAACCTAAAGACAAAGAAAATTAATTAGTAAAATTCAGAAGAATAGAAAAAAACCTCAACACAATTAAAATTACTAGAAAGCTAGAAGACCAGAGGAGACCACAAGAAATTTTACCAGAAATCGCTGAAAGATCTAAAGACAAAGAAAATTAATTAGTAAAATCTAGAAGAATAGAAAAAAACATAAACAATACAATTAAAATTACCAGAAAGCTAGAAGACCAGAGAAGACTACAAGAAATTTTATCAGAAATCGCTGAAAGACCTAAAGACAGAAAATTAATTAGTAAAATTCAGAAGAATATAAAAAAACCTCAACAACACAATTAAAATTACTAGAAAGCCAGAAGATCAGAGGAGATCACAAAAAATTTTACCAGAATTCGCTGAAGACCTAAAGACAAAGAAAATTGATTAGTAAAATTCGGAAGAATAGAAAAAACCTAAACACAATTAAAATTACCAGAAAGCCGGAAGACCAGAGAAGACTACAAGAAATTTCACCAGAAATTGCCGAAGACCTAAAGACAAAAAAAATTAATTAGTAAAATTCAGAAGAATAGAAAAAATCCTAAACACAATTAAAATTACCAGAAAGCTGGAAAAGCAAAAGAAACCACAAGAAATTTCATCAGAAATCACTAAAAGACCTAAAGACAAAGAAAATTAATTAGTAAAATTCAGAAGAATAGAAAAAAACCTAAACAATACAATTAAAATTACTAGAAAGCCAAAAGACTGGAAGAGACTACAAGAAATTTCATCAGAAATCGCTGAAAGACCTAAAGACAGAAAATTAATTAGTAAAATCAGAAAAATATAAAAAAACCTCAACAACACAATTAAAATTACCAGTAAGCCAAATGACCAAGGGAGACCACAAGAAATTTCACTAGAAATCGCTGAAGACCTAAAGACAAAGAAAATTAATTAGTAAAATCTGGAAGAATAAAAAAAAATCTCAACACAATTAAAATTACCAGAAAGCCAGAAGACTGAAGAGACCACAAGAAATTTCACCAGAAATTGCTGAAGACCTAAAGACAAAGAAAATTAATTAGTAAAATTTGAAAGAATAGAAAAAATCCTAAATACAATTAAAATTAACAGAAAGCTGGAAGACCAGAGAAGACTACAAGAAATTTCACCAGAAATCGCTGAAAGACCTAAAGACAAAGAAAATTAATTAGTAAAATCTGGAAGAATAGAAAAAAGCCTAAACAATATAATTAAAATTACCAGAAAGCTAGAAGACTAGAAGAGACTACAAGAAATTTTACTAGAAATCGTTGAAAGATCTAAAGACAGAAAATTAATTAGTAAAATCTGGAAGAATATAAAAAAACCTCAACAATACAATTAAAATTACCAGAAAGCCAGAAGACCAGGGGAGACTACAAGAAATTTTACCAGAAATCGCCGAAGATCTAAAGACAAAGAAAATTGATTAGTAAAATTTGGAAGAATAGAAAAAAACCTAAACACAATTAAAATTACTAGAAAGCTGGAAGACTGAAGGAGACTACAAGAAATTTCACTAGAAATCACCGAAGACCTAAAGACAAAGAAAATTAATTAGTAAGATTCAGAAGAATAGAAAAAATCCTAAATATAATTAAAATTACCAGAAAGCTGGAAGAGCAGAGGAGACTACAAAAAATTTTACCAGAAATCGTCGAAAGATCTAAAGACAAAGAAAATTAATTAGTAAAATCCAGAAGAATAGAAAAAAACCTAAACAACACAATTAAAATTACTAGAAAGCTGGAAGACTAAAGGAGACCATAAGAAATTTTACCAGAAATCGCTGAAAGACCTAAAGATAGAAAATTAATTAGTAAAATTGGAAGAATACAAAAAAATCTCAACAACACAATTAAAATTACCAGAAAGCTAAAAAACAAGAGGATACTACAAGAAATTTCATCAGAAATTGCTGAAGACCTAAAGACAAAGAAAATTAATTAGTAAAATCTGAAAGAATAGAAAAAAACCTCAACACAATTAAAATTCCCAGAAAGTTGGAAGACCGGAGGAGACTACAAGAAATTTTACCAGAAATCGCTGAAGACCTAAAGACAAAGAAAATTAATTAGTAAAATCTGGAAGAATAGAAAAAATCCTAAACACAATTAAAATTACCAGAAAGTCAGAAGACCAGAGGAGACCACAAGAAATTTCATCAGAAATCGCTGAAAGATCTAAAGACAAAGAAAATTAATTAGTAAAATCTAGAAGAATAGAAAAAAACCTAAACAACATAATTAAAATTACCAGAAAGCCAGAAGACCAGAGGAGACTACAAGAAATTTTTACCAGAAATCGCTGAAAGACCTAAAGACAGAAAATTAATTAGTAAAATTTAGAAGAATATAAAAAAACCTCAACAACACAATTAAAATTACCAGAAAGCCAGAGGACCAGAGGAGACTACAAGAAATTTCACTAGAAATCACTGAAGATCTAAAGACAAAGAAAATTAATTAGTAAAATTCGGAAGAATAGAAAAAAACCTTAATACAATTAAAATTACTAGAAAGCTAGAAGACTAGAGGAGACTACAAGAAATTTCACCAGAAATTGCCAAAGACCTAAAGACAAAGAAAATTAATTAGTAAATTCAGAAGAATAGAAAAAAATCTAAACGCAATTAAAATTACTAGAAAGCCAGAAAACCAGAGAAGACCACAAAAAATTTTACCAGAAATTACTGAAAGACCTAAAGACAAAGAAAATTAATTAGTAAAATCTAGAAGAATAGAAAAAAACCTAAACAACACAATTAAAATTATCAGAAAGCCAGAAGACTGGAAGAGACTACAAGAAATTTCACCAGAAATCACTAAAAGATCTAAAGACAGAAAATTAATTAGTAAAATTCAGAAAAATATAAAAAAACCTCAACAATACAATTAAAATTACCAAAAAGCCAGAAGACCAGGGAGACCATAAAAAATTTTACCAGAAATTGCTGAAAGATCTAAAGACAAAAAATTAATTAGTAAAATCTGGAAGAATAGAAAAAAACCTTAACAACACAATTAAAATTACCAGAAAGCTAGAAGACCAGGAGAGACTACAAGAAATTTCACTAGAAAATCACCGAAAGCCTAAAGACAAAGAAAATTAATTAGTAAAATCTGAAAGATTAGAAAAAACCTCAATAACACAATTAAAATTACCAGAAAGCCAGAAGACCAGGGGAGACTATAAGAAATTTCATCAGAAATCGCTGAAAGATCTAAAGACAGAAAATTAATTAGTAAAAATCTGAAAGAACAGAAAAAACCTAACAACATAATTAAAATTATCAGAAAGCCAGAAGACCAGGGGAGGCTATAAGAAATTTTACCAGAAATCACCGAAAGATCTGAAGACAAAGAAAATTAATTAGTAAAATCTGAAAAAATATAATTAAAAATTACTAAAAAGCCAGAAGACTAGGGGAGGGAGACTACAAGAAATTTTACTAGAAAATCGCTGAAAGACCTAAAGATAAAGAAAATTTGTTAGTATAATACTAAAAGAAAGAAAAAAACAACAATAAACTAAATAGCAAAATGCTAAAATCAGAAATCTAATTTAAAAGAACTTTGTAACCAAAAAATGAAAGCCTTATCTTGTAGAGCTCAAGTTAACTTTTTTTAGATATTACTTTAACTTTTAAATAAGATCTACATTTCTAGAATTTTTTATTATATTCTTGATGATCCATAAATCATTAATTTCTATTTTTAGATTTCTATTATGATTTTAGTTTTTTGTATTTCATCGATTTTCTTATTATGTAATACGTACTTGTGACTTATAGTAAATCTTTTCTT